GCCTCACCTGTCCCCCTGCCTCACCCTGTCCCCCGTGCCTCACCTGCCCTGACACATAGTAGGCACTCAGTACATGTTTGTGGAATTAAAAATAAAGTTGTAAAAACTTTTAAATCCAGACTGTGTCACAGCAGGAGCCTAAGTAACAGTGGTCTGTAACGTTTCTTAAATATTAAAGTCCATCTGTTCTCATGGTTTTGACAAGCCGTAGATGCCCCACTGGACACTTAACAAGCAGCCTGTTATGCCACTGTTGCCTTTGAAGTTTCGAAAAGCCACCCTCTCTTGCCTAGCTGCCCCCCCCCAAAAAAAAGTCAAGAAGCAGGGTATGAATGACTTTCTGGAAAGAACTGAGATCGTATTGCTTTTGCAAAACAATTTTGTGTGCCTGCCAAATCTTTAACTGTTTCTGGAGTGCCTACCATGTGCGAGGCGTAGACATCTTTAGTAGCTTCCTGCTGTGAATTACCTGATCAGGTACGAAACGATTATCACATAAGTTTTAAAGTTTTTCTCATTGAAACTGTCAGCAATCAGAGTACTTTGTAGCTGTTGAGATACATCTTTTCCTGCGGAAATGTGTAAAATGTCTTCATGATTTTTTATCACGGTAAATAATCGAATCATAATGAAAAATACATTTGATACCGGTTTAAGCCTAGGATGTTGATTCTGAGACAGAGTGTCACGTTTTATTAGCAGTGTCCACAGGGCAAGTCCGGGCAATCAAGCACGTGTTCCAGGGCTCCCCCAAAGCCTGGCGCCCCCAGGCCTTCTCGCCCCCTTAGCCGCAGACCTGAGTGGTGTCGTGAGGCTTCCGTTCTATCTTTTTTCACTGTTTCTTTTCCTTGTAGACCAGGGAGGTCCCTCGGTTAGCCAGTGAAGGAGACTTTTCCTTCTTTGCTTATAGTTTTGCATTGGGCTTGCCTTTTCCTTTCTTTTGTTGGCTCAATTTTAATGCTGTTGGTTACGATCGTTTTGAGTCATTTCACACGGCTATTAGGGCTTTTATTAATTAAGGAAGTGATCTTTATTCGAAGGCAGCATCGTCAGATCGAATGTCTTAATGAAAAGACGAGAAGCCATTTTCCTGATCTGAAAGGCTCTGCTGGTGTCCGTGGTGACACATTTTGTTATTATTGAGATTGAAGTCCCCCGAGTCAGTTTATTGCACTTTCTACCCCATTTTTTAAAAGTCCTCCTATTTAAAAAAAAAAATTACTGAGAGACCATGTATAATGTGTATTTAAGTCCTTAAGTGAGTTAAGTGAAATTCAGTTTTACAGTTATGCATGTGAAGTAATTTTCTGTATACTTTTTACAGGAAGCTATTGAATCCTTCAAAGAAGCTTTGAAGCAGAAAGTTGACTTCATCGATGCATATAAAAGTTTGGGGCAGGCCTACAGGTAAGTGACGTGGCGGCACTTGGGCAGAAGAGGGGGTAGGGCGGGGAAACAGGCCAGAACCTCACGTAAAGGCGATATCAAAAGAAACCGTTCTTCTGAGTCGGGGAGGCGCTGACGTGCCGTCGAGGGCGTCTACAACACGGAAGTGACCGTGTGTCGGGACATCGCGACACACAGAGTTGGATCTTAAACAAATGTCGCTTTGCATGTCGGTCTAGAAAATGTCAGTCCCCCCGCGTTACCGCTTCGAGTGGTGGCGTCGTAAGCTGTCGAGTTCCTGCCCACGCGGCTCTGCGCTGTCTGAGGCCTCCGGGAACGGGGACACGGGCTACGCGGCCGTGGGGCGTCTCAGCACCGAGGCCACCGGGGCCGTCTGACTTCGGCTTTGGACACCTGTGTGCGCCAGCATACACGGAGGTGCCCTAAGAGCCCCGAAGGACAGCGTCGTCCCCCGCAGAGCTGTGGGTGCCTGGTGCAGGAGAGCTGAGCCCAGGAGCTCGTCTGTCTGACACGGCGGCTGGGGCAGCGGCTGGGGGAGCGCTCTTGCCCTGGAGAATGCGTGTGTGCGTTTGTTTGGGGTTCACGGGATGACATTTTCCTTCCCGTCCCACAGGGTTGTTGGGAATATAAACTGAAAGCAGATTTGAAAGCACCTGGGAAGTAGTAAAGAGCTGTGGCATGTAAGCCGGCGTTACGTTTTTTTAAAGTGTTCATTATTTATAAAAGCTCGACGTGTGGGATATTTCGAAGGTACTTCTATTATCTGTAAAAATTTTAATATATAAAAGAAGGTTGGTCAGTAACAACCATTTTAACTCTGAAGTAATCACAGTGCTAAAATACATTTCTTTTTTCAGAATTTTAAGTTACACAGTAATATACTAGACTTAAAGCCACGTTGGCCACAGAAACTATACGCTTTTAAGCCTGTGGGTCTGATTGACAATGTTAAACCTCTGTATGGTTGTAACCTACATAAATGTTAAAATTTACACATGGTTTTTAGGGGGGAGCTCAAC